TATCATGTGCGTTTTATCCGCAGCCTTCAATATTTTTGCTCTATTAAACTTCAAAAACACAGATTCCTCTTGAGAAACAAATGCGCCTCCGCCTTGTTCCTCAATACTGCATGCAGGCAGTCTGGTCTACGACAGCCGTGTTTCGGCTCCCATGCCCTAAGGTGATGAGTTGTAGTAGTTGGTACATGACCAGTCAGATATGTGTCAGGACCAGCCTCCTTCTGTAGACATCTACTGAGGTCACTTGTGTCTGTACCTGGGAACAGGAGAGGATCATTCCTTATGTGGCCCTTCCCATTTCAGTCAGTGCTTCTCCAAGCAGTAAAGTTCTTGCTCTTTCGCTAGAACAGCTGCATCCCTGCTGTAAATCGACCTACCTAAGAAATAGGAACCATATAAAATTTGTGAATTCATCCGGATTATTTACCTATTTGATTTGAATCCCATAAAATTTTGGATCGAAATTCAGGAATCAAAACTGACTTGCAGAAGGCAAGTTCTTGGCGAGTCTCGGTCTTAAACTTGAACTAACCTTTATCGTCATACAGGCTATTATTAGAACAGCTACTATGTCTTGATGTCACCGGTATTGAATGACACATGTAATCGCACGCTGTGGTGTAACAGTAAGAATAGGATATCTTTTGGCGTTGCCCTTAACCTGCCAGAAGCTGGAAGTCCCGACACTGCAGATTCGTCTTACATAACAGTGGTAGTTATGTGCTGAGAGGTTTGCTTTGAGGTAGGCATGACCGGGAGAACGACAAAACGAAAGGAAAAATTAGAAACACTGTCATATAAACGAACTGGTTACTCTCGCAGCTTGTCATAAAAAGTACCTGAGTTCCACTTTGAATAAAGTGGCAACTTTAGAATGATTCGGTGAACGTAAAGATATAATTCCTGAAACGTTCAAACGTATGGCTGTCATATCCCCTTAAGACTACTGTACCTAAAAGTCACGTACTCTATCTGGCCTGACAAATACATCATCACCAGCGCATGGTTGATGCTACCGAGGTGAGGCGTTCGTTCACATCGAAGCTACGCCCGTCGTCATCGTAGAAACCGATCAATCGTCGGTGTTCGATCAAAAAGTAGGTTCTGGCCATGCCGACCAAAAAGTGGCAGATGAAATGAACCTAACGACCCTTCTGTGCTCGCCATTCATTGATAGGTCGAACGACCATGAACTTTACTGTGTGGACAGATGAACATTTTCGAGCCCACGGCGAAGGAGGAACATTTGAAGTCTGTCGTCGCCGACGGCCACCCGATCGTCGTCCTTCCGTCCAAGAACCGGTTTCTGGTTGGGTGACCTTCTGCTTAAACGATTTATGGCGTTAAAGGTGGTAAATCGCCTTAATGTCGTTAGAATAACGTGTCACGTCGTAAAATGGTGGCTCCGACAACGACGTCGTATTTTCTGCATTAGCTCGCTACAACGCTTGATCGACTGCTTACGGACTGATCTTTGGTTGTGTCTATTGTTCTGTGCTTTTGCCGGTCAATTGTTTGCTTAAGCATCACGGTGTGCCGTGATATTGTTAAAAAAGGAAAGGCTGACATGTCGGTCTCTTTCGTACTTTGCTGATTGTGACCCGTTTGAGGGAGCCCTCTTTTTCTGCAGCTCATATTGTGGCGTTGATCGTCGTTCCTATGCTGTCAGCAAAAATGCCTAATTTTTAAGACCATGTCTGCAGCGATATGACAAGTACAGCTTGCTTGCAGCAGCCTCTTTCCTTTCTTAAAAATGGTGTTCGCTTATCCTGGATAAAAGTCGTGCGACCCAACGGAGGCTTAACATCTGTTTAGACCCTCATCTCTGCTGGGTGAGCTACCACAGAGGACAAGAAGAGAAGGCCTTCCTGAGACGAAAGGACTTGAGGGGTCATTTCTTCATCGCTGTGAGGTTGTTTATATTTCCTGAGGATATGAAGATTCAGCTGGAATTTCCACATGATCATTCCTGATGTCGTTGCTGTGTCATGATCGAGGCGAAGTAACCCAAATTTATTATATTTGAACGTTCGAAATGGCACTTCAGATTTATGTTGGGCAACGTTCATTACTGCAGCAAAGGCCATATTCCTCTTCGCAAGCAGGTCTGTCGAAGACGCTTACGCTTACCGCGAGTGCACGTTTACCAAGCAACAAGGTTTTAGAAATATTTCCATCCACCTTCTGGCTCATTTTATCAAACCTATTCAGGCACAGGTCCGTGAGTTCATCTGGCAGATTTTTCAGACCGGTAGTCGTCGGTGGCTACTCGACCGTCACTCGGTGATGCCGTCCCATTTTGAGAACAGAACAATCGTTGGAAGGTGTCTCGCTGTCTAGACGAGTTTCATGACTCTTCAGTCAACCAGAAGTTTCGAGATTGTAAATGGGCACCTCGACCATGGCTGTTTTCATAATGTCCATCTTCGTATCCGTTCTTACATTTCGACCCTTCACTATGTATGATGATGCTAAACGGTTTATTTGATCTCGTTCGAACGTCGCCCAACGTGTTTCCATAACCCCGTTTTTTTTCTAAGACGGTACCCCGGTTCGACACACTGAAG